ACACTCTCTGCGAGGGGGGAGGAGGGGGGGGGGGGAGCCTATTACAATTCAAATGAGTTTCTTGATAGAAGGCTTCCTCCACGTCCTTCTTGTTACGGTTGGACCACAACGACCATATTCCGTCGTTGTTTGGCGCTCCAAAACGTTTCTGTTTATGGGACTACGCGGCAATTGAAAAAGTTGCAGTATAAGTTTTATCGAGTACTTTGTGAAAGGCAAACTATTCTCGATTGTATGGCGTGAGAGTCAAGGGCGACATGGAGCATCAGCCCAGCAATTTACCTGAAGGTACACGATTGATTCCTTGCCATCCTCCGTCACACACACCAAATCCACTAATCCCTCCTCATTTTTAACTTCGCGAACTGTTAGAAGGACTTCGCTATTCAAATTGTTGAGCGAAGGGAATCCTTCAATTCCGCTATCTTAAAGAAAAGGTAAAAGCAGAAAGAGTAGAGTTCTAAAGCCAAATTATTAACATTCGGCAAGTCCCTCTTACCATTAACGTGCTCTTCAGCAGAACTGGCATTTACTTGCTCGGCTTCATCTATCCGTAGAACAGTTGACCTCTTTTCTGTTGAAAAAAATCACTAAAAGTCTGGTCAAAATAACTAGAAAGATAAAAACTCACTGGGCGAAACATTACCCGAGGATATTTCGATTGTGTGATTTTTAGGAGAATCTGAACAGATATTAATTTGAACGAAAGTACTGAGAAGGGCCCCCTGTGCTACAGTAACCATGGAGGAAGGAGAATCGATGCAAGAAACTCCTCAGAAGCAGAGTACAAGTAAAAACACTAGGACTCACTGAGTGTAACGGGATCATCAAAGGAGTCGTCCAGTTCGGAATTCTCCTTTCCAGCGGAATACTTTTCACCAGGGTTGGATGGTGGCACTATAAACATTGTGATACACTGTCAACCCTTAATCAAACGACTATTTTCTAGGGGTATCAGAACTACAAGAGCATACACTTACTTTTGAACAATTAAGCCTGAATTCAATAAAGTGGTCGAAAATGAACTGGCCTTGCTTGATGGACGGAACCTGCTTGATGGGCGATTCGTCCCAGTCAGAAAAATCAGAGAGCACTGCAACCGTCGGGTCCTGTTTCGGTGGCCTAAACCTTATATAACCGGCATACAAATCTCTATCCATGTTCTGCAAACCGTTTATTACAGCTATGACTTTGTCTTGGCATTGGACTTTAGAAGGCGGGAATATATTCTCACAGCAGAGATTCGATACAATAAATATGTAAGTGCAAATTTTGCGCAATTTTAAGATAATCCGTATATCAAGGACACGCAGAAACACTGGCGAATATATGCAAAAAAAACAGGAAATGTAAAACACCTCTTAACCGGCGTTGACTGCTTGCCTCCAGCAACAGCTTCCAGCGTATCCAGCTTCATGATCTTCTTCGATGGCTCGGTTTCAGTAAAATCAGTGTTATTTACCGTCACATGATTAAACAGAGAGNATTATACAACCGTCTTACAACTCTACATCGATGTTATGCAAACCGTTTACTACAGCTATGACTTTGTCTTGGCATTGGACTTTAGAAAGCGGAAATATATTCTCACAGCAGAGATTCGATACAACAAATATGTAAGAGCAAATTTTGCGCAATTTTAAGGTAATTTGTAAATCAAGGACACGCAGAAATACTGGCGAATATGTGCAAAAAAAACTAGGAATGTAAAACACCTCTTAACCGGCGTTGACTGCTTGCCTCCAGCAACAGCTTCCAGCGTATCCAGTTTCATAATCTTCTTCGATGGCTCGGTTTCAGTAAAATCTGTGTGATTTCCCGTCACATGATTAAACAGAGAGCGCTTCTGTGTTTGAAGAGCCTAAATGAGAGAATAATTCACCAAACAGGTCAGATAAGTATTGTTAGCGGCTTGGGGTACTTTTACACCATGATAGGGGTCTTATCATTATAATGCTGATGCAGCTGAAATCGAAACTTAATGCCACAACCCCGTTCGGTTCTATTCGGTTTCTAATCCTGAACAGTGGTGCCACAAAATTTTAGAACTGCCCCACAAGCAAATAATAACTACAGAACCTGTTTCTGAACATTGCTCGTAATAACTTCGGCTCTTTCATCACAGTTTTTCATGTGGAGCGTTCAGCAAAAGCTCCTAGAAACAATTTTTAGTATCACATAGGTTTATTCGTCGCAATAGATACGATACGATTTCTTTCTATAATAGAACTTTGTCAACTTGAGAAAATGCTGAAAGTCCCGCAAAAGCAATGCAAACCGTTTCCTGAGTTAAAGGAAGGAATCAGAAAACACTGCACAAAAATACATATTGAATGATAATCAGCTTACTGAATTACCTATGATAATACAAATAAAAAAGGAAAGGACAGCCAGCGCAATCATTCGAATTATGCAATTTCGCGCTGTTCGAAAAGTTCGAGCTGGAGCGCTGAATCTAGTGGCCCCATGCTGAAGAAGAAGAGGTCACGAAGAGAGTAGGGTATAGTTGTAAGTGCGTTTCACAAGTATAAGATCACTCTCGAATTTGGTATTTACAGGATAAACAGCCAAGCACATACCTTTTCGGCACAACCATCAGATTAATCACCTTCAATAACCCCTTAATGCGTGCTTTGGTTTACTCAACTTTTATATTAGCATTAATATAGATTATGTTTGATTCTTTGCCATTTCCTGAGTATAGGATCACCCGCGACAGCACGAAGGTTTCGAAATTTAGTGCAGCAGAATTTGCACTTGTGTCGTAAATATGTCCAGAAGCAACATGTACTTTTGCACTTTGCCTCGCGGAGGTCGTCCTTCTTTAGAAGAAAAAAACAAAATCGAAATTTTCGTGGTACAGGGTTCGGCTTGAATTTGCGAAGTTGAACTCGGGATGAGATTGGACGAAAGTCAGCCCGTATTACCGATTACCCATACGGTCAAGTAATCTCGTTCAGGTCGTATTTTTCGATAAAAAGAAAGTTAAATCAGAAGGCCCCGATGGTTACTGGCATTACTATTACTATTATAACTATAACTATTACTATTACTATTACTATTACTATTACTATTACTGACATGACTTAAGAAAAGAGCCGATCAACTCTAGTCGTCGCAATTTTAGAGGAGGAAGTGCCCTGGTACGGGGTGCCTTCTGCGAAGATGTCTGGTTCGAGCTTGCTCTCGTGACCTCCAAAATGGACTCCATGGACTTTCAGGAATACTCACAATGGCGCCTGGTGGCATTTCTGAGCCGGCGACGTGGTCCGAACTACTTTTTTCAACAGGACAGTGCTGCGATCCACGTTAGTCATCCCACGAAAGACCCCACGAAAGACTGCTTCCTTTGCCAAAATTTCGAAGTTCTGACATGGCTACCTTGCAGCCCCGATCTGAACCCGACGCAGAATCAGTGGGGCATCATTGTAAAGGAAAACTCATGCGAAAACCGTCATTTCCAGACGGTAGAAGAGCTCAAGCAGGCAGCACCTAAACTTGAAATGAAGTGGTGTCGAGGTGTCTCGAAACCCTGTTTTGAGTATGCCATGTAGGGTATTCGATATTGGGCTAGAATAAGGAAGACCCATTGAATACTTAATGTTTTTTTTTTGCTGTTACTAATAAATTTTTAAATTCCCAGAGTGATCTTATACTTAAGGAATGGTGCAAAATTCAAAACTATTTATAAAAATGTAATGGTAGAAGTTGATTCAGAAAATGTTCGTGCATGGGAGTTATTCAGTGTGGTGAATCTGATAGTGGTGCTTAGAACTCATCTGCCTCGCTGCTTATCCTGTAAACACCAAATTTGAGGGTGATCCTATACTTATGAAACGCACGGTATTAACATCTTCGAAGAGAGAGCTGATGGATTTGTATGGCTACACGATCTGGATAAAGATGAAGCGAATGAATCTGCAACAGCGTAATCACGTCGGTTGAGATGTACATGGGTCCCAGTAGCTCATTGAGTAGGAGAGAAAGAAGATGGAGCGTGACCCTCTTTGATGTGCAAATAGGTTCACCAAGTCGGGATGAGATTAAATTGCAGTTTAGAGAACTATTGTCTATATGCAAGCCACAATCCAGGTTAGCTTAGTATTGATGGCCTCGAGTTTCACTTATACTTACAAACCCTAGCCTCTGGTCATGAACTATTCGAAAAAGGCAATAGACAATCACGAATACAGCAAATACGACAATATGAATATATTTGACTACAACGGATAGGATCCGGGTCTCTGAGGAGTGAAAAGATGATCACCGGTGACATCGTCCGTGGGTCGCGGGATGGAGAAGTCGGAGTCGTTGTTGAGGCCTGTATGAACGGCTGCTGATGCTGTGACATGATGCGAACAGACAACGTATGTCTGCCCAACGAACTGCACGATAAAGTCGTGCTTTTGACGAAATCTAGCGTGTAGCAGATGGTAACAAGGAAGTCATAGCAGTGATAATTCGAAGCTCCACTCTCTACTTATTGAAAAAGCAGAGCTCAAACAAGAATTCAACATCGTTCACGATGTCTTGTCTCATGATTCGTCATTAATGACATCTCGTATGTAAGGGATGCTTTCGACTGCTTCAAGGCTCTGATATGGGATCACCGTCGCCAGAGGCTGTGGTGCCTTATCGAGAAGTTGAGAGACAATGTTCTATTTTGTTCGCGGCGTACCATTGCTGAAGGCAATTAAACGCCAGAGATCGTTTTTTATATGATGTCGCTACTGTCTTTAACATTACTGATTTTTGTGGATGTAGAATTTAACCTACTCACGGTCTGTCAACATGGTGGGCCTCAAATAGGCAGTGTTAAATTATGGAAACTTGCCTTGCCGTACTACACGTACTTTTCAACATCTTGCATTAGACCGATCTACATAAGAGAGTTCTTTTCCAGGGATGCAGCCAATTTCTTCCCTGATGATGAGGAAAACTGTTGCTAGACAGATTATACTACGAGAGAAGGAGTTGTGCTCTTTGGTATTCCCCAATTTGTGCGTGTGAAGAGATTTTTCTATGCAAATGTGAGGCCACTCACTAAAAACGCGGACTTCTCGAAGTTGTTGTTCTCGAATAATTTTACTTTCTCGGAACTTGGTTGAAAGTAAGCCACACCCTATATCTATTCAATGTATGGCGACACCTAGCCAGTTGCTCATGTGATTTCGCTCTGTCTTTCACTGCTGGCGAAATTGAGGGAATGTCAGTGAACTTCTCAGCAAGTGAACAACTATTCCAGGGCGAGTTGCACTTCCTTAAAGTCCAGCAACGAAGGGTTCTTCAAAGCTGGTGCATCAAATGGAAAATGTGCTCTCCACTGAAGTCAAATAGTAGATACGACTTTTAGTGCCATAGTCTCGCTCTCCGCCCCACATACCACTTCCACTATTCCCCTTCCTTAGAGTAATTACATGAGCACAAGTATGTTTGTTGTGGCTCTACGAATTGGTGGCTCTTTATCTTCATAAGCAATAAAGAATCCTAACAATTTGACATAACTGTTTGAAGCCCCAGTATTGCTTGGTATTCGAGCGAGCTGATTTTTCAGCTAACATCACCTTGAGGAGGGTATGTCATAGAATAACAACCAGATGAACACGCTTTATTCAGCTTCCTGACCACTGTCATAATGAATCCTTATTAATGAGCTTTTCCTAGTTCAAGAAGATAGGTCAATAGCGTCTTCACTCCTTGCACATAGTTCACCTTATTCATCTTCTCGTTTTGTGAATGCGCCATATCATCGGCGGCACCGAGTGGTAGCAAAAGAACACTCTTACCCGTCAACTCCTGAAAAAAGAAATAGGATGAAATAAGCTTTTATAAGGGGTATTCGTGATCATTCTTGAAGAAAAATAATGAAAATGAATTTTAAAAAGGAGAAATAGAACTCTCATGAAAGGATAAATTACAGAGAACATGTTAAAGGCACCGTTTACGATAAATTTAGGGTACCCTTTTTTGACGGGTATCCATAGAACTACTCTAGAATAAAGCGATAACAAAGAAAAAAGCGCAAAAAACGATGAACAAAAAGAAATAGAAAGGGTCAAAAAAGAGCTGGAAAGGGGGGTTGGGCGAGTTCCACATTGGAAGAACGGCGGTTAAGGGAGGGTTCGGGCGAGTGCACGAAGGCGACGCAATGTCTGCAATAGCAGACAATACACCCAAGCGGACAACTTCGCCGAATGCGAAAGTGATGAACGGCAATTAGATTTCGTAGTCAGCCTAGCGAGGGGCGGAGGTCTCCAGTCCCCCACTGTTTCTGTCCTTATTGTGCCCTATCCAGACCGTTTTCCGACCTCATTCCTGCAGAAATGGTATCAGAGGGGGCGTCGAATTCAAACAATGTGCAGATCTGCGAAACTATTTTTTCGTGAACAGTGCCTTTAAGATGAGAGTGCAAGAGGTGTAGTGTTGTGTGGCGCACTATCACACTCACGGTTCGAAGATGGAATCCCGAACCGATACCCGCCTAGACTAACCAAGCTTTTCATTGCTACGAACTCAGTTGGTTGTACTGTATTGGTCTTTCAGAGGAATAAAGTAGTACCAACTTGATAGTCGTTCTAAATAATTTACGACTCTATTTCAATTCTAACTGATCGAGCTAGATAACACCGTTATCATCTATGGCATCCATCCAACTAAGAGCAGGTCGGCTTCTCTTTTCTACCAAAAAGAGCGAGGCTGTAGCGCCAAGGGATTCTATTTCCGCTTGAGTGGTGGAACTCTGGCTTCCGAGGAAGACGATAACGTCGAAACGTTAGGTCGTTAATTTAAACATAGCACCAGAATTTTCTAGTCACGGCTCTTGCTGTTGTCACAGACGATCCAACTGACAAATCCCGCACCACTTCTGCGTAGAGTCCCTCCGGTTGGAGGTGACGACTGATGAATGGCTGCTGATCGATACACGCGTGTGACGGAGATCTTTGGCCAGTTGTGGCAAAATCATCGAGCAAGAACTTCCCTGTAACTGTGTTCGTGAAGGTGTCAAAAAACTCTAATGGCACTCGCTAAGCTTTAACATGTCCTGCTCGCAGTCCCTGACTTAAACTTCACTTCACTGAGAATTGTCATCATTAACAGCAGTTATTCCGCTGAATGGGACTCATCGTCGGCGGAATCCAGAATGAAAGGAAACAAATGAACGACTGATGACCGCATGGTTGGCGAGGTCCCATCCGAATACAATATTGATGTTGGTGCCACCGGAACCAGCGCCAGAGCCGCGGCGTCAGTCGTAAAACACGATGTTTTAGGTTGATCTCCTGACAACTACATACAACATGGTTTACAAAAGAAGCCTTCTGGAAATTGTTTGAAAATACTGGTGGTAACTCCAAGGTTGATCTGGAATGTACTGATGGATCGAGGGTTTTTACAGAGAAACGACGATACATGTAAACTTGTGGCTCAGACCATTTACATCAACCTGATGTAATGGGTGAGTACATCCCACGAAACGATATTTATTGACTCGGAAAAACTTTACCCTTTATCGTTTCACACACCCAGGGAATGAAGAATTTGCCAGAAAACGAACCGACTGCGAATAGAAAGTGATTAATCCAGCCTGGATTGGAAAACTTGGCTGGATGTCAACTCTAAGTGAACAAAACAATGACACAACGCTACCTGGAATGTGAGCGTAATAGGAATGCTGCAACCTTCTCGAATGTAGTCGGGATCCACGCCGTGCACTACAAAAGAGGATATAAATGAAGTGGCTTTGAAAACAGGCTTGAATTTTTTTATTATGATCAGGGTTCCTCACCAATCTTCATTGCCCTGGCACCTGCCTTGAAATTTGCATCGTTTGTATCAGCAAGCCAAGGAAGAGCATCGTGGCCAGGAGTAGGTCTGAAAGAAAAAATTGATCGTTCCAAAAAGGGAAGGGAGGTGTATCAAAATCATACGTGAACGTATTTGGTGATCCTCTCTTTTTCCATAGCTCTTTCAAATAGTCAATAACCATCTTGTTAACCTGAAAAAAATCGGGCTACTAGTGTAATAGAAGGAGACCAGCAGCTGGACAACATTAGTTCATCTACTAGGGGGAGCAAAGCTTCGAGCATTTCACCACTTTCTTGTCCATGACCTAGTATACGTATCTCGCTTGAATGTGTATAAAAGAGGATATGGGACTATGGGACTTCGTCCGACAATGTTTAGCGTTTCCTGTGGAATGGAGAAGTAACACCATATCAAAAGTTCCACAGTTGAGCTCCCACTTTGCCCACTGTAGAAACTTTCGAACGGGAATATGGCATATAAGTGGTTGAGGGGAAATAGGGAACGGAATAGGGTTGTTAGCGCTCTGAGCGAGAGCAAAAAGGAAAAACTGACTCTCCTAATATTTTATTCAGAAGCGTAAGGCCTTTTCACAATGATATGTTACTTCAATGGAATCGCAACGGTAACCCACCTTTTCAGGTTTCATATGAGGGACGATTCTGATGGAAAATTTGCCGATAACTTTCGATGGGATTACTGTTTTTTCACCAGTTCCTGAGAATGCGCCTTCAATACCGTGGATGGACAAACTGAAAAGAGACTTTTTCAAATGCACGATGGGCTAACCTCTGTGTCCTCTACACCCCCACCCTCACCATGGCTCTCTCCAGCGTCTTATCAGTAGTGTTTTCTTGTCTTCAGTTGGCAGCTTCTTTGCGCCAACGCTTTCTCGGAACTCTTTTACGCTAAAGTCGATAGTCTCATAAAGTTTGTGTTCTTCTTCTGACATAGGGGCAACATCGTCATAGATTCCTGAACTGTTTACCAAAATTATAGAAAATATCGAACTGTGAGCTAATCTATAAATTTATTTGTTTTGCTGTGCTGTTTTGCTCGACAACCCACCATGCCCACTACTTCTGGAAGCAGCCGGTCACAGCCATTTTCAGTTGATGGTTCTATTCAGGGGCAAAACTAGGGATTTGGACTTGCTGACTAATTACTGTGAAGAGGCTTCAAAGCCTTGGCAAGTAAATTTGTCGACCTGCCGTGCTGAAGAAAATGCCTAGGAGAACCTGCTAAGGAAAGTGGCCTGAAAGCCTTCAAAAACGAACATATGAAAGCCGAGTTTTTGAGTTTTCAGGCCAAATTTTCAGTTCAATTTTTTTGCAAAAAAGAGGATGTCCTGATTGTGCAATCATACTTCGTAGCTTGTCTTTGATAGAACTGGATTCTGGCTATACATCGCCGATGTCAGGCGTTCAAACCTTGGTTTCATCTTCACTGGGCTCTTAGCTAGCCATGTGGTGTCTGAGAGTTCCCCGCATTCAATAGAGGTACTCAGCCGCAGCGTCGCTTGGAGCTTGACCCCNCCCCTTAAGCCCATAAAGCGCCTTAATTCATTCCAGAGGTCAAAAGGGATAGGATGAGGATAGTGCTACATTTCAAAACCCAAACATTTCCAGAAAAATGACTCAATTTTAAAAGTTGCGAAAGAACCCTGATTTCATGATAGAATTTCGCATAGATCCTCCCCGATAAAGATTGGGTGTGAAGGTGTTTAGTCCAAGTTCTCACCCGGGATTGCGATCCGGTTGTCCACCGTAGTTAATTGAGACATCACCCAGATCAGATCTGCCAATGGTTCATGCCTAAAGAGAAGGACTATAACTGTTAAGGCTGTTGAACTACGAGTTGCTAACCATTGAATGGCCACACTTAATCACATATACGGATTTAATGCGACAGAAGCACTCACACAACACCGCCGAAGACTCCCGAATGCAAATCCTGCTGTATTCCGGTCACTTCCACGTTGAACGAACAAATACCTCTGAAAGTCGCAATCATTTAGCCTTCCTGACGCCGTTCGGCAAGTCTTTTCCCTACCTCCAAAACACCTTCAATTCTTTCTGAAAAACCTTACCAGACCCCTGGCCTTCCCCATTTTCGCACCTTGGAGCGTGCTACCACATTTCAGGAAATGCAATCCCAGTTCTCCCTCCAAACTTATCACATCCCAATTTTAAACGGCATATACACATAACAGGAAAAGAGAAGGGCAACAGGAAGAGATCCGCACGTAGGGATGGATGCGGACGTGAGAAGAGAGCAGGAGCGCAAAGCCCTTAAGGTACAGTTTACAATAATTAGGGTATCAATAGTAGTTGTACCGAACAGTGGCAGTGATATTCTAGGCCAATGCAAAAAGGGCGAACAAACGCGGGAGTTGGCATGTTTTGAGCAATATAAGGCGTCTCGAAAGTACTGAAATTCGGAATGAACGAAAATGTCACTAAAAAAGTTGCTTGGAAAGATATATGGGCGAGCCATCCAAATGTGTGGGCCGTGGGAGAGTCGATTTGCCGCACGCCGCTGTCGCGCACCACTCATTCGCCGTTATTGCAGCTCTAGCGTTCTTCATACAGCTCAATCGATATGCGATCATTATTTTATGCATAATTCTACTATTAGTACTTTTGTTCTTGTATTTCTTACCTACTGCTGCATCCTGCTACATTCCTTCGCGCGCGACGCCCCTCTTACCGCGACGCGACCATTTCGTTCCTAACGCACCACAGCCGTGGGACTTGCGTGCAGTTGGCTAAGGTATGCTAGCTGCGCGCAACGTGTGCTCCCGGTGAGAGTGTTGCAACCTCTACGGCCTCTATGGGTGTGCAAACTGCTGTGAAAATGTGGTTACATCACACCGGGTTATTTACGAGCAATATTTTAATTCCGCAGTTTAAGCAGCAGTTTAATTAGGGGAGGAGGTGGTGTAGTGGCAAGTGGCGCGCTATCTCACACGCACGGTCAGGGGGTCGTATCCCGGATCGATGCCCGCCTAGGCCAACCAAGCCTTCCATCCCTCTAGGGTCGGTGAATTGGTACTAGACTCGTCTGGGAGGATAAAAGCACTGACTTGTCCAGCACATCAGCTGGCCACCGGCCAAGTCATTGTATAGGCCACATACGCACCCGTTACGTCACTACAGTTCTGAATGGAAGTCGAGTGCAAGGGCGCATCTCTCAGACGGGATTGATTAACGCCAATAACCTTTGTTCTTTTATTTTACTTTCGAAAAAAAGAAAAAAAAAAATGATGAAGAATATTGACTTTGTGCACAGATGACTTTTGTAAAGTGAAGCAAAGGCGAACAAAAGCTCATTTTTTGCAGAGCTATAACTCCCACCCCAATACTTCTGGATTTTTTATTCTGAAAAAAAAAATCTTGGTCGGCTAGGATGTTTTTTTCTGTTGACAAAACTGTTACTATTCCTCCACTTACTAACTTTTGAATTGCTCTACATCGATATACGAGCAGTATAATAATCATGGAGTTTTCATACCTAATTATGATCGCCTGACGCCGGAGATCGTCCGTTGCGCGCGTCCGTCAAAAGTAGGTCACCCCGCCCAGTTCGCGCGCGGTGCACCCCACTGAGGTTTCAAGATGACATTACACTACCACCAAGTGACGTGGAGCAAACGATTTGCATTCGTTCGTGTTATCTTCTCCTTGGCTGTTTTCTGTGGACCGTGCGCAATTCGTATGCCCTGTCATTCGTATGCGACGTTTGTCAAAGATCGCGGCCAGACTGCCGCGGGCGACGGCAGCGACGTGACCTAGTTTCGACGGACGCGCGCAACGAAGCGCACCCTTTGGCGCCATACGTTATCTAAAGGGGATAGTGGGCCTCTCAACGCTCTACCTAAGCCGTTTTTCGGCCCGACAGCATGCTTTTTGAGCCTCTTGATGTTCACATTTTCACCCTGGGAGAAATCGCAAGAACTATTTTTATCGTGGCGTGTACTTCTAAACGAGCCATGGACGCAGAAAATCGCTTTTTTGGGTATTGAATACTTTCACGGTTTTTTCTACCTTGCTCTTTTCTCATTGCGTGTTATGTGATTGAAAAGATAATAGAATGATACTAGCTCTCAACTTCCCTACAACCTGGGAAATGAGTCTAAATCTCAGGTTCTGACCTCAGTCCATGTGTGAGACATGGTTTTGTCGTTCCTAGCCAGTAACTGTCCGATATACATGTAAAGTCGACTCCGGCAAGGAACTTGTCTTTGTTTCTCGTCAGGAGCTCTTCCAAACCTAATGATCCACTTTCTTCCATTGCTTCGAAGCAGAACTAAAATAATAGTTGTAACTGATTACCGATTAGCTTCTAATTGTGAAGATTCAAACACTGAACGACAAACTCATGGATGAACTCAAGCACGTATCAGTGAGCCTCATGCAACATTCACACTGTAGGTGAAGGTCAGACGACTTGAACTATGAACTACGGTCTGATACAGTACTCACTAAAGGTAGAGGTTCCTAGAAATTCTGAAATGCAACTCGGAATGGGATCAGCGGACAGCTTCTTCAGCTACCCTGATGGTGCAGCCCGCCGGTCGACTTTGTCGATCGCGTAAAAGGAGCCTATCACTCAGAAAATGAAGAGTGACTTTCATCCAGTGAATTAGGGAGTAAAAAACGCTTGGAAGTCGGATGGAGGCCATTATCACTTTGAGAAATCGCGAAAATGCATGAGAACATAAAGGCCCAGAAGACAGAGCTCTTAGAAAAAACTTTTTTTCAAGATTTCTTGCTGTCCTTCCGTTTCGCTTACTTTTACGTTAACAGGAATATCGATCTTATGCTTTTGAAGCATTTCGATGGCATGCAACCAAGACAAGACTGGTCCTTTATCATCAGAAGCTCCTCGTCCAAACAATTTCCCGTCTGAAAAGGCAATGAACTGATTTTCCATGTTTAAGCACCAAATGGAGGCTGTTACCTTTCTCGATGAGTGTGAAAGGCTCTGTTCTCCAACCATCGTCCTTTGCAGCCGGTTGAACATCTGAGATTTGAAGCATATGTTACTACAGACGATAATCCCTTTAGACACCAAATTTGTAAGGAACCTACCCAAATGCCCGTAGACCAAGACCGTCTTCTTTTTCGCATCTTCCCCGAGTTGACCAAACAATACTGGGGGCAAGGGTATCTGAAAAACTTCATATCACATTGGATAGGTATGCTAATGCTATTTCCTTCCACGGGCTGAGGTGTTGTAATGGCACCCTATCAAACGCATGGTTCGGCTATCGTATCTGCACACACCATTTGGATCTGCTGTCAATTCCATATCGTTTGATTGGTACCGATCCCGTCTACGAAGACAAATGCACCGATATTTACA